TGGACCAATATACATGAATCAAGAAGTTACAGAAATGAAGGGAGAAACAGACAATTCAATGACAGTAGCTAAAGACTTCAATATCCACTTTTAATAATAGACAAAACTAGGCAGAATCTCAACAAGGAAATAGATCTGAAAAACACTCTGAACCAATTAGAACACTAGATCTATAGAACGCTCAACCCAAGACAGTGGAATATACGTTCTGCTCAAGTGCACATAGAACATTCTCAAAGACACACCGTGTGCTAGCCCATAAAACAAACCTCAATAAATTTAAAAGGACAAAAATATTCCAAAAATGTTGTCTAACCAAAATGGAATGTAGTTAGAAATCCAGAGCAGAAAAATATTTGGGAAACTCACAAATACATAAAAATTAAACAACATACTCCTAAATAACCAACGGGTCAGAAAAGAAATCAAAAGAGAAATCAGAAAATACTTTGATATGAACGAAAATGAAGAATTAACATACCAAAACGTATGGGATGCCACGATAGCAGTGCTGAGAGGGAAACCGACAGCTGCAAGGATCTATGTTAATGTTCGAAGGCAGGGAAGAGACAAGTAAGTATCCCCCAAACTGAGTAGGCATTTTGAGACTGGAAAACAAAAAAGACAACCCCGTACAGTTTAGAGAGTTTTATTCAGGGTAATTAACTGACAGGAGGGATTGGGCAGACAATGATCCAATCAGCTGGGCAGCTATTCTCTGCAAAGTCCTGACCTTCATCTACAGATTTTATAGAATGAGGGGGTGTACAGAAGGGTGCTGTAGTGAGATCAAAGGGTTCCCATGCATTTCAAAGGGTTTGCATGCACCTAATTGACATCTAACATTTAATTAGGCCTCGTGGCACCACCTATGCCTCAGGAAGGGAAGAGACTATTTTATCTTTTTAGCAAACCTGAGGAGGGACAAAGCAAGCCACCCCATCCCAGCCTTGGCGGGCATTTCTAAGGTATGTATATTAACCTCCAAGAGAACGTGTAGCTCCAAGAGAGGTCATTGAGTGAACATGAACAAGATGGAGGGCCAAAGATGGAGTCAGTATTGCCAGCATGCCTACAGTTAAAAGGAAAGATCGCAGATCAATAGCTCAATCTTTCACCTTAAAACACTAAAAAAAAGGAGAGTAAACTAAACCTAGTGCACACAGAAGGAAGGAAATAATAGGTTAGAGCAAAAAATAATGAAATAGAGAACAGAAAAACAATAGAGAAGATAAGTAAAACTGGAAGCGCTTCTTTTAAAAGACCAAGAAAGGGGCGCCTGGGTGGCTCAGTCGGCTAAGCGTCCGACTTCGGCTCAGGTCACGATCTCACAGCCCGGGAGTTCGAGCCCCGCGTCAGGCTCTGGGCTGACGGCTCAGAGCCTGGAGCCTGCTTCCGATTCTGTGTCTCCCTCTCTCTCTGCCCCTCCCCCGTTCATGCTCTGTCTCTCTCTGTCGCAAAAATAAATAAACGTTAAAAAAAAAAATTAAAAAAAAAAAAAGACCAAGAAAATTGACAAGCCTTTAGTAAGACTGATCAAGAAAAAATGCGAGACAATTCAAATTACTAGAATCAAAAATGAAAGAAGGGGTATTATCAACAACCTTACGGAAATAAAAAGGATTATGAAGGAATACTATGAACAAATGTATGCCAACAAATTAGATAAGTGAAATGGAAAAATTCCCAGAAAGACACCATACCAAAACTGACTCACGAATAAATAAACAATGTGAAGAGAGCTATGACAAGGGAAAAGATCGAATTGGTAATGAAAAATTGTCCACGGAGAAAAGCGAGGCCCATATTTCACTGCTGAATTGTACTAAACAAGAATTTTAAATATCAATTCTTCACAAACTGTTCCAAAAAAAAAAAAATAGAAGAAAAAGCAACACTTCCCCTCATCTTATGAGACCAGTATTATCCTAATACCAAAATCAGATAAAGACATCACAAAAAACTACAGATCCGTAGCTCTTCTGAATATGGATATATAAAAATCCTTAAGAAAATATTAGCAAACCAATTCTAGCAACATTTAAAAAAACATGTATACCATTGACCAAGTGGATTTATCCCAGGAATTCAAGTTGGTTGAACATCGAAAACTCAATTAATCATTTCAATAGAATATATTTTAAAATCACATGATCATCTCAATAGACATAGGAAAAAAGCATTTGACAAAATCCAAACTCTTTCCTGATAAAAACACTCAACAAACTAGAGAGGAACTTCCTCAACCTGTTAATAATCATCTTCTAAAAACCCACAGCCTACATCATTCTTAATCGTGAAAGACTGGATGCACTGCCCACCCCCCCTCACCCCCCGATCAGGAATAAGACAAAGATGTCTTCTCTGCCACTTCTATTCAACATAGTACTGGAGCTTCTGGTCAGGGCATTTAGGCAAGAAAAAACACCCGGATTGGAAAAGAAGAAGTACAACTACTTATATTCAGAGATTTACATGATCCTGTATTTAGAAAATCTTAAGTAAAGGGGTGCCTGGGTGGCTCAGTCGGTTAAGCGCCCAACTTCAGCTCAGGTCATGATCTCACGGTTCGTGAGTTTCAGCTCCGCATCAGGCTCTGTGCTGACAGTTCAGAGCCTGGAGCCTGCTTCAGATTCTGTGTCTCCCTCTCTCTCTCTCTCACTGCCCTTCCTCCACTCATGCTCGCTCTCTCTCTCTCTCTCTCAAAAAGTAGATAAACATTACAAACAAATTTTTTTAAAAAAGAAAATCTTAAATAAAACACACACGCATGCACGCACACGCACACACACACACACACACACACACACAAAAGGGGCACTGGGTAGTTCAATCAGTTAAGAGTCTCATGCTCTACTGACTGAGCTAGCCGGGAAGTTTAGTCCAGTCAGTTAAGTGTCCAACTCTTGATTTCAGCTCAGGTCATAATCACATGGTTCATGAGTTCAAGCCCCTCATCAGGCTCTGTGCTGACAGTGCAGAGGTTGCTTGGAATTCTCTGTCTCCCTCTCTCTCTCCCCCTCTCCCATGCATGTGTATGCATATGTGCTCCCCCTCTCTCTCAAAAATAAATAAACATTAAAAAAAAAGAATTCTTTCCAAAAGCACAACAAAAATAAAGATAAATTAGACTACACCACAATTAAAAACTTCTCTGCTTACAAGAACACCATCAAAAAAGTGAAAAGACAACCTACAGGATGGGAGAAACTACTTGCAAATCAGATACTGATAAGGGTTTCATATCCAGAATATATAAACAGCTCCAGCAACAACAACAACAAAGAACAACTCAATTTTAAAATGAGCAAAGGACTTGAGTATCTTTCTCTAAAAAGATATATAAATGGCCAAATATGACATGAAAAGATGCTCAATGTGTATCACAGAAATATAAACCAAAACCGCAATGAGATGAGACTCCACACCCACTAGGCTAGAATTAAAAAGTCAGAAAATAAACGTTGACAAGGATGTGGAAAAATCAAAACCCTCATTCACAGCTGGTGAGAATGTAAAATGGTGCAGCCACTCCTTAAAACAGTCTCGCGGCTCCTCAAATGATGAAACATAGACTTACCACATGACCCAGCAACTGTCCTCCTAGGTATGTACATGCCTGCCCCCAAAGAAAACATATGTCCACATAGGAACTTGTAAAGGGGTATTTATAGCAGCATTATTTATAATAGCAAAGGTGGTAACAACTCAAACACACATCAAATGACAAACGGAGAAACAACATGTGGTATATCCATATGCTAGAATACTATCTGCCCATAAAAAGGAATGCCATACTGCTTCATGCTACAACATGGATGACCGTTGAAGACATTATGCCAAGTGAAAGAAGTCAGTGACAAAAGACAATTGTATGATTCCTTTCAATTTAAGGGGAAACGCAAGTACGAATGAGGAAGACTTTGTTTATCACAGGGTGGGACCTGCAGAGGAATGGGAAACAGTCGGCACAGGCTCTGAGAGAAACCTGGGTCTGACCTCCCCCACCCCGGGACACACAGAACAGTGTGGTTGCTGGTCTCTAGGGAGGGAACAGTGCTTTGCTTGTGAAAGTATGAAGAAGCCAGAGAACCGAATTTGGGAAGAAACCACCCCTGTCACAAGAAACACCACCAAGAAACCACCCCGTCACAAATTGCACCTGTAGTCAATCCTAACAGCGGCTAACTACGCATCCTCCACCAAGGGAAAACAAAACAAAATTAACCTTGATTACCATCCTTGCTCCTTGGACTCTACACTGAGAGAAATAGCACAGAGCGTCTAGTTCAAGGCCAATCCTGCTCCTACCTTCTCCATCCTTCCCTCCACTTGAGCTCCCTCATCTCCTTTCTACTCATTCCTTTCCATTCTGGCTGATCCAGTCCAGTCCTTCAGAATCCTTTTTTTTTTTTTTTTTTTTTTTTAGAGAGAGAGAGAGCGATTGAGAGCTTTCAAGAGTGGGGAAGAAGGGCAAAGGGAGGGAGAGAGAGAGAGAGAGAGAGAGAGAGAGAGAGAGAACCTTAAGCAGGCTCCATGCTCATCATGGAGCCCGACGCGGGATTTGATCCCATGATCTTGAGATCATTACCTGAGCCGAAATCAAGAGTCGGTGGCTCAACCAACCGAGCGACCAAGGCACCTCCAGAATCCTCTTCTTGTTCCTACTTTTAAAGGCTGGAGTTTCCCAGGAGTCTCACCTTGGTTCTCTTCTCCATCCTACTTCTTCCCAGGCAATCTCACCCACTCTCATGGTTTTAACTTCCAAGAACAGACTTGTCTTCCCAAATCTGTATCTACCTTACACCAGAGACCTACATTTCTAGCTGCAAAATAGACACGTCCACCACATCCACATGGATGCCACACTTAAAATGGATCATTTCCTCCAGACCCTGTCTTAGTTTGGGTTCCCCCAAATCTACCCCTTTAAAGTAAGGGTTTGAGAACAAACTGGTTATTTGGGAGGTGATACCAGAAAACTCGGGCAGAGGAGCAAGATGGCGAAGAAACGAATGAAAGTGTGCTTCATCAAGCAAGTTACCAGTGTGAGTACCTAAAGCTTAATCCCACTGAGGAACTCTGGGAACCAGCGTATAAAATACCCACATCAGCACTCTACCACTGGAGAAGAAAGGAGCCGGGGTAGTCCTACACCAACTCCATTATCCTTGGTTGAAGGCTTCCGGGGAGTTGGAAGGGTGTTGATTCCCTGGCACTTTTACTCTGCTGTTCTGGGTTGCAACATGGGCACCAGAAAATCGTCAGCCAAAGAAACGCGGGTGCTGACAATGGGAAGTCAGGCCAGTGTTCACAGAAGTGGTGAGGGGAAGGGAATATGAGCAGCGTACCCACATTTCTGCTACCCATTCAAACCCGGAGCTCCTCCTGGATCCCCCCTTGTGGTCGGTATCACCCAACCCAGAGAAACATGGTGTCAAAACCAGCTCTTCTCTCTCTTTCACCCCTCCACCCAGGACCCTGAAGATTCTATTCCCTGAGTGGTACGTCCTCTTCTCTCTTGGCATCCCCACTGCCAAAGCCTTGGTGTCTAACTGGATTTCCTACACTCTGCCTCCTCCTTCTCTCATCTACCCACTAAAAAAATTGCTAGCATGAACGTTCTAAAATGCAAGTCCAGGGGCGCCTGGGTGGCGCAGTCGGTTAAGCGTCCGACTTCAGCCAGGTCACGATCTCGCGGTCCGTGAGTTCGAGCCCCGCGTCAGGCTCTGGGCTGATGGCTCGGAGCCTGGAGCCTGTTTCCGATTCTGTGTCTCCCTCTCTCTCTGCCCCTCCCCCATTCATGCTCTGTCTCCCTCTGTCCCAAAAATAAATAAACGTTGAAAAAAAAAATTTTAAATGCAAGTCCATTTACACACCATGTTAAAAATACTTCGATGCTTATATAAGGTAGCTGGAATAATCAAATTCGTAGAGACAAGTAAGCAGAAAGATGGATGCCAGGGGGGCTGGGGAGAGGGAATGGGGAGTTATTGTTGAATGCGGGACAGAGTTTCAGTCTGGGAAGACAGAAAAGTTCTGGAGATGGGTGATGGAGGTAGTTGTACGACAACATGAATGTCCTTAATGCCGCTGAAGTGCACCCTGAAAATGGTTAAGATGGTAAATGTTATGTACACTTTACCACGATAAAAAAAAAAATGTGAATCCTCCCTTGGCTCCCACTGCCTACAGAATAAAGCCCCAGCATCTTCACATGACACATCAGTCTCCGTTCTCTAGTCCCTGCCTGTCCCTCCAGCCTCATCTCCTGCCATCCCAGCTTTGAGCTTCACCTCCCAGCATTTCCAACTACTCATGGTTTCCAGAATACATCTTGCTTTTCCATGACTGTTTCCCACTGCACTTTCTGGTTTCTCTTCCCAGAGTACCATTCACGCCCCTGACTACGAGCAACTTCTCTTCGTTCCTCACAACTCATTCGTGCATCTGTTCAATAATTATTTACTGGGTCTGAGACCCCCACCTTAGGAAACAGCAGTGGGAAAAGCAGGGTGGGAACAAGTGATTTCAAGTGAGAGTGTGTGCAAGGTCCTTGAGAAGCATCTAAGAAGGGGGTCTCGCCTCATGTGGGAAAGTCAATCTCCACATGTGAGGGACCCTCTGATAGGGTTATCCCCTCTCCTTGATGCTGCTTCTGAGCCTTGTATGTACTTCTAATTTCTGCCCGTGCCACATTGTTTATAATCATTTTATAAAGCTTCTGTACTAGTCATGATTCTCTAGGCCGCAAGTGACATTAAACCAATCTTAACTAGCTTTACCAAAAAAAAGAGGGAGGAATTATCAGCTTCTATGAATAAACCATGGGAAGTACCGAGGTAGATGTGGTCTACGGAACAAGCGAATCTGGGACCACCCACTCGCCAGGCCTTTCTGTGTGTTACCTTCATTCTCTCAGTGGGAGTCACAGATTCAGGCAGCATGAGATTCACTGAATTAGTTAATTTCACAAATATCACAGCCTATCAATTCTGAGACACACATTATAATATCCCCGAAATCAGCATACCTCTTACGGTTGCCATTGGCCGTCAGCACTGAGGTCTGGATGTGCGCAAAATCAGGCAGCTAAAGAAGCAGCTCACCAGAAAGCATGGTGACTTGGTTTGCATCCCAGGTGGCCTCACGGATAACTGCAATCCTATAATATTTCACTCTACAAACCAAGCAAGGGTGTTCAAAGAAGGGATGTGAGTCCCGGTTGCTTAATCGACACCTTCCGGTGACACCTGCAGCTAAGATCAAGGACGTTGTCAGCATCAAATTTGCAGAATGGGTATCACAAGCTCAAAAGGAAATCCTGGAGAAAACTGAGGAATGCTTTTACAACCAACACATTACCTGTGTTCCTGATGGCAGAGGGGATGTTAACTGTGAAAAAAATCACAGACACGAATGACTTGAGTGACTTGGAACGAAAAAGCGATTCAAAAGGGAAAATCTAGTGGCTCAGCTGATTAAGGGTCTGACTCTTGATTTTGGCTCAGGTCACGATCTCATGGTTTGTGAGATCAAGCCCTGCATCGGGTTCTGTACTGACAGCGCAGAGCCTGCTTGGGATTCTCTCTCCCTCTTCCTCTACCCCTCCCCCCACTCAAAATAAATAAGCTTGAAAAAACAGAAAATCTGAATGTAAGGAAGTTTTGGAAATACCTTAACCAATTTATTTTGCTTATATTTTCCTTTTTGCATACGTATGAGAACGGAATATGACATACATTGATGTCTAAATAACTGTAAAAGAGGGGCGCCTGGGTGGCGCAGTCGGTTAAGCGTCTGACTTCAGCCAGGTCACGATCTCACGGTCCGTGAGTTCGAGCCCCGCGTCGGGCTCTGGGCTGATGGCTCGGAGCCTGGAGCCTGTTTCCCATTCTGTGTCTCCCTCTCTCTCTGCCCCTCCCCCGTTCATGCTCTGTCTCTCTCTGTCCCAAAAATAAATAAAAACGTTGAAAAAAAAATTTAAATAACTGTAAAAGATCTCTCAATAAGTCTAAAATAAAAAAATTGTGCAGGGGTGCCCAGGTTGCTTAGTCGGTGAAGCATCTGACTTCGGCTCAGGTCATGATCTCAAAGCTTGTGAGTTCGAGCCCCAAGTCGGGGTCTGTGATGACATCTCAGAGCCTGGAGCCTGCTTTGGATGCTGTGTCTCACTCTCTCTCTGCTCCTTGCCTGCTTGCACTCTATCTCTGTTTCTCTCTCTCTCTTTCAAAAATAAACAATAAAACATTTTTAAAAATTTAATGTACATAATAAAAAGCATTGTATTATAGTTTCATTGACTGTTTTTTTTTCTTTTTTAGTGGAACACAAAATAATTGTTTTAAAATTTCTAGCATCTTAGATTTTATGAAGTTGTGTTTATTGGGCACTTACTATGCACTGGAGACATACATTGAACAAAACAAGGACCAAGCTCCCGTGGAGCTCGTGCACCCTTCTAACTCCAACCTCTTGCTTTACTGGCTCCATTTTGAACTATGCAAGGAAAAGTGATCAGCCCGATATGGATGACAGTCACCCTTGGAAAAATCTTTGTGAACGGGGAGTATGAAGTTCTATGATTGTTTCAATCTGGGTCACGGCCAGTCCCCGCACCCAAAGCGAAGTGTACTTCCAGAAAAAGGAAGATAGGAGACTTGAACAGGAAAAAAAAAAAATCAGAGTTGTTTTAATGTCCATTCGTCCTATAAGACACAGGAGTAGGGCTCTTGCCTTTAGCGGGCAGGGTCCAATCAAGAAGACGGCATTCAAAAGAGGCAGTTCAATAAGAGGGAATTTAATACAGGGAGTAATTACAAGGTTTGGGGAAGGGCTAAACAGCCAAATGGGACGGTGGGATGGTGAGCCAAGCCAGAGATCGGCAAGAGTGGGACGTGCCCAGCACACTTAAGGCTAGAGGGAAAAGGAAGAAGGTGGTATCACCAGAGGCCAGCGTCACTCGGCCAGAGCTGGGACCAAGCAGAAGATGGGGAAGAAATCCCCTGGCTTCTCCCTTCCCCTCACCTTCCAATCTTCCACCAGTGTCTTTCACTAGCCACCCTTAGCCAGTGGCATCTGGGCAAAGGAGCCCGCAAAATGAAGTTGGCAGGATCGGCTGCCTCCAGTAGAGAGAACAGGAGAAGGGTAGGGCATGACTCTGAGGGTGAAGAGATGAATAACGGGGCAAGGTATTATCCGTCTCTGTATCGAACACAGGACCTAAGTGCCTAGCACAGGACCCGGTTCCTACAGAAGGAAATCAACTCAGTACTAACAGAAACGGAGAATGGCCACTGAAACACGAGAGTAGAGATACGGATAGAGCGTTACTGCATTAGAGAGAAGAGGGTAACTTCCTCCACACAGGGTACCCGAGAGAGGGCTCACAAGAAAACGTGATGAATGAAAAAGGATACAAAAAACGGGCAAGGGTTTGCCTGAGGAATAGAAGGGGCGACAGTCAGCCAGGCCGGGAAGACCGCACACGCTGAAGGCAGGGCAAACGAAAGCATTGCAACAACGACCAGATGCAAAGTCCAGTCCTATGAAGCGCTCTTTCTGTACCTCTCCGTGCGATTACATAGCTTTCCCCTTTCATTATTTACACAATGGGTTACACTAACATATGTCCTTACATCGAACCATTCTTGAATTCCTAGAGTGAAAACTATTTGGCCAAAATGTGTTACTTGTTTGATTCTGCTGCATTCATTTTGCCATTTCACTCGGGATACGTGCATAGATACCACAGGTAAGCTTTGGTCCGTAGTTGGCTTTTGCCGGGCTCCCACTGTTCTCTATCAGGGCTACCTTAATTTTGTGAAATTATTTGGAGAACTTTCTATCTTTTCCTATTTTCTGGCATATTTTTTTTTAAATTTTTTTTTCAACGTTTATTTATTTTTGGGACAGAGAGAGACAGAGCATGAACGGGGGAGGGTCAGAGAGAGAGGGAGACACAGAATCAGAAACAGGCTCCAGGCTCTGAGCCATCGGCCCAGAGTCTGGCATATTTTAATAGCTGTGGAATCGCCACCATCGACCT